TTTTTTAACGGTGATGTGCAGTCTAAACTGCCAGACATATGTAATTGTGTAAATTAATGCAATTACTTCCACTCGCGTGGCGTTTCATTCGTTGGAAGCCCTTGAAATTATTCGGCGTATCGTGTAGGTCGTTAAGTGTGATTAGTACCATTTCGGCGCAGCCGGTCATCTTGCTAAATATGCATTACGATTGGTGCAATTATAACAACTACGCTAGGTCATAACGATAGCACTAGATCCAGAGAGTATGTCTATTTTCAAATTATATTTTAACTTGAAGTTGACTTGACTTGGTTTTTTAACCGCTTAATCATTTAAGAAATATGTAGAGTAGATATAGAGAACAACATGTTTTCATCGGTAACGTCTTTTTACGGTATTTGTTTGTTTGTGATTTTGACTTTCGGACACCAGGTAGCGCTAGTGAGATTATATAAAGAATGTTTCAAGTTAAGTGTGAACTATGCTTCCTCTATATATTTTATTGAATTTCTTTGAATAACCGTTTACTAACCAACTTATTAGTTGAATCCTATTAGCTGACACTTTTCATAATGGCAGTATGTTGTTTAAAACATGTCGTACTGTCATTATTAACAGCATATTTTGTTCGTCAGTGCTGAATTTGACGCTGATCGACTTGCCGGGGCTGACAAAGGTGCCCATCGGTGACCAGCCTGTAGACATTGAACAGCAGATCAAAGCGATGATCTTCCAGTTCATTCGCCGCGAATCCTGCCTCATCCTAGCTGTTACGCCCGCTAATACCGATTTAGCTAACAGCGATGCCCTAAAACTTGCCAAAGAAGTCGATCCCCAAGGTAAGTTCATTACTAATGGCTTCTAATTTCCACCTGTCACGTATGCATTTCGACAGATGGACAAGTCTTAATTTCTGCTATCTACAAATAATCAAGGTGTGTAAAAATCTTTGTTCTAAATCTAAAGTTCTTGATGACAAATTATTCTTTATGTCTAAGGAATAGTATCTAAACAACTGAATAACAAATAACACATTTGTGGATGTTAGGTTTATTTCACTTTCGATTTTAGAGTTAATATCGTTACTCACTTCTTCAAATTTAGCCATGATTCCTATGAAAAGTAGATTTTATGTTCGTAGTTAAGTCAAATTTGAGATGAAAACAGGAAAAGTAGTATTATGGTGTACGTAGGTCTGCGGACGATTGGTGTGATCACCAAACTGGATCTGATGGACGAGGGCACGGACGCTCGCGACGT